TGTCATATAAGGCTTTTATTATGTTGAGGTATGATCCCTCTATTCCCACTTGCTGAGAGTTTTTATCAGGAAAGAATGTTGGATTTTGTCAAGTGCCTTTTCTGCATCAATTGATATGATTTTGTGATTTTTGTCTCTTGATTTGCTTATATGATGTATCACGTTTATTGATTTGGGGATATTGTACCAGACTTGCATCCCTGGAATAAAGCCCACTTGGTCATGGTGTATGATCTTCTAATGTAATACTGGATCCAATTTGCTAGAATTTTGTTGAAGATTTTAGCATCTATGTTCATCAGGGATATTGGCCTATACTTCTCTTTCTTTGTAGTGTCTTTATCTGGTTTTGGGATTAGGGTAATGCTGGCTTCATAGAAATAGCTTGGAAGTGTGCCTTCCTCTTGAATTATTTGGAATAGTCTGAGAAGGATTGGTTTTAGTTTTTCTTTGAATGTTTGATAAAACTCCCCTGTGAAGCCGTCCGGCCTAGGGCTTTTGTTTGCTGGAAGTTTTTTGATTACTGCTTTAATTTCATCGGTAGTATCAGGCTATTCAGGTTTTTTGATTCTTTCGGATTGAGTTTTAGAAGCTTGTATTTTTCTAGGAAAATGTTCATTTCGCAAGGTTGTCCAGTTTGTTGGAGTATAGTTGTTCATAGTATTTTTTTACAATCCTTTGTATGTCTGTGGGTCAGTTGTTACATCACTTCTTTCATTTCTGATTTTGTTTATTTGGGTCCTCTCTCTTTGTTTCTTGGTGAGCCTGGCTAGAGGTTCATCAATGTTGTTTATCCTTTCAAAGAACCAGCTCTTGGTTTTATTGATCATTTGTATTGTTTTTTTGGTCTGTATGTCGTTTATTTCCCCTCTGATCTTTATTATTTTCTTCCTTCTGCTTACTCTGGGTTTTTCATAAGGCTCTTTTTATTTAATTAATTTATTTTTCTATTAATGAATTTGTTTGTTGTATATGATAGCTTTTTAAATGTTAAAGATATTATAAATATATTTTAAATATAACTTCACGGTGCCATCTCAGCTGTTATTCTGTACCACTACAGGCACACCTTATTTTATTAGGCTTCACAGATACTGCTTTTTATAAATTGAAGGTCTGTGGCAATCCGTAGATGAGCAGGTCTATCAGTGCCATTTTTTCAGCAGCATTTACTCATTTTGTGTCTCTGTGTCACACATTGGTAAATCTTGCAATATTTCAAACATTTTCATTGTTATTGTATTTGTCATGGTGATTTGTGATCCGCGATCTTTGATGTTACTATTGTATTGTTTTGGGGTGTCATGACAAGTGAATGTAATCAATAAATGTGTGTGTTCTTACTGCTCCATTGACCAGCTATACCTCTCTCTCTACCTCGCTTCTTCTCTCCCTCTCTCTTTTTGTCTTTCCTTGGGCTTCCCTATTCCTTTTAACACAACAATATTGAAATTAGGTCAATCAATAACCCTCAATGGCTTCTTAAGTGTTCAAGTGAAAGGAAGAGTCATATGTCTCTCACTTTAAATCAAAAGCTAGAAATGAGTAAGTTTAGTGAGGAAGGCATGTCAAAAGTGGAGACAGGCTGAAAGCTAGGCCTCTTGTGCCAGTTACGCAAGTTGTGAATATAAATGAAAAGTTCTTGAAGGAAACGGAAAGTGCCACTCCATTGAGCACATGAATAATCCGAAAGCGATATAGCCTGATTGCTGAAATGGAGAAGTTTAGTGGACTGGACAAAAGATCAAACCAGCTACTACATTCCCTTAAACCAAGAGAGGCGAGGAGGCTGTAAAAGAAAAGCCTGAAGCTAGTAGAGGTCAGTTCATGAGGTGTAAACTGTCATCACAACGAAAGAGCAGTGCTGATGCAGAAGCTGCAGAAAGTTATGTAGAAAATCTAGCTGAGATTATTACTGAAGATGGCCACACTAAACAACAGTTAACCTTCTACAACTTTCATAGCTAGAGAAGTCAATACCTGTCTTCACAGCATCAAAGGACAGACTCACTCTCTGGTTAGGGGCTAATGCCCTGGCGACTTTAAGCTGAAGCCAGTGCTCATATACCATGCCATAAATCCTATGGTCGTTAAGAATCATGTTAAATCTTCCCTGACTGTGCTTTACAAATGGAACAACAAAGCCTGGAAGAGAGCACATCTGTTTACGACATGGTTTACTGAATATTTTAAGTCTACTATCAAAACCTACTGCTCAGAAAAAAAGATTTCTTTTAAAATATTACTGCTCATTGACAATATATCTGGTGACCTAAGAGCTCTGATGAAGATGTACAATGAGATTAATATTGTTTTCTTGTCTGCTAACACAACATCCATTCTGCAGCCCATGGCTCAAGTCGTATTATTTAAGAAATACATATATGGCTACTAGAGGCCCAGTGCAGAGATTTGTGAACCAGTGGGGTCCCTCAGCCTGGCCTGCGCCCTCTTGCAATCTGGGTAGTAGTGCGTGAAGTGACAGGCGGCCAGGGAGGAGCCTGAGCTCCGGCCGGGTGCTGCACTGCTCCCGCTCATCCTGGCCCCGCTGTACCTGCCACCGCCTCCGCTGATAGGGCTGCTGCGGAGGTGGGAGAGGCTTGTGCTGCTGCAGCTGCTCTTGCCAGCTGTGAGCCCGGCATCTGGTGCCCTTTGGTCAGCTGAGTGGCGCTCCCACTGTGGGAATGCACTGACCACCTGGGGGCAGCTACTGCGTTGAGTGTCTGTGCCCTGGTGGTCAGGGTGCATGATAGTGACTGGTCGACCAGTTATTCAGTCATTTGGTCGCTTAGGCTTTTATATATAGAGACTAGAGGCCCGGTGCATGAAATTCGTGCGGGGGGGGGAGGGGGGGCGGTCCCCTCAGCCCAGCCTCCACCCTCTCCAATCCAGGACTCCTCAGGAGATGTCCAACTGCTGGTTTAGGCCCGATCCCCAGTCGGACATCCCTCTTACAATCCTGGACCGCTGGCTCCTAACTGCTCACCTGCCTTCCTGCCTGCCTCATAGCCCCTCACTACCCCCTTGCTGGCCTGATCACCCCTAACTGCCTCTGCCTGCTAGCCTGATCGCCCCCAACTTCCCCCCCCTGCTGACCTGGTCGCCCCACGCAACCTGCTGCTCGGTCGTCCATTTGGTTGCAATGGTTGCTTAGGCTTTTATATAGATAGATAGCTGCCATAGATAGTGATTCCTCTGATGGATTGAGGCAAAGTCAATTGAAAAGCTTCTGGAAAGGATTAACTATTCCAGATGTCATTAACATCATTCATGATTCATGGGAAGACATCAAAATATCAACATCACAGGAATTAGGAAGACGTTTATTCCAACCCTCATGGATGGAATTCAAGAGTTCAGTGGAAGAAGTAACTGCAGGTGTGGTGGAAATAGTAAGGGCGCTAGAATCAGAAGTGGAGCCTAAAGATGTGACAGAATTGCTGCAATCTCAAGATAAAACTTTAATGGAGGGGGAGTTGCTTCTTATAGGTGAGCAAAGAAAGTGGTTCTTGAGATGGAATTTACTCTGGGTGAAGATGCTGTGAAGGTTGTTGAAATGACAACAAAAGGCTTATAATAGTACACAAACTTAGTTGATAAAGCAGTTGACAGGGTTTGAGAGGATTGGCTCTGATTTTGAAAGAAGTTACAGTGTGTGTAAAATTCTATCAAACAGCATCATATGCTACAGAGAAATCATTTGTGAAAGGAAGAGTCCATAGTTGTGGCAATCTTTATTGCTGTGTTATCTTAAGAAATTGCCACAGTCACCCCAACCTTCAGCAGTCACTGCCTGATTAGTCAGCAGCCATCAACACTGAGGCAAGAACCTCCACCAGCAAAAAGATTAGGATGCTTAAGGCTCAGATGAGGGTTCGCATTTTTAAGCCATAAAGTATTTTTAAATTAAGGTATGTACATTGTTTTTTGTAAACACAATAATATTGCACACTTAATAGACTACGGTATAGTGTAAGAACTTTTATATGCACTCAGGAACCAAAAGTTCGTGTGATTTACTTTATTGTGATATTTGCTTTATTATGATGGTCTGGAACCAAATCCACAATATCTCCTCGGCATGCATGTATGTAAAACAAAAGATTTTTAAAATATACCATCCTATATAATAAAAGGCTAATATGCAAATCGACCGAACAGTGGGACGACTGGTCGCTATGACACTCACTGACCACCATGGGGCAGATGCTCAATGCAGGAGCTGCACCCTGGTGGTCAGTGCACCCTCACAGGGGGAGCACTGCTCAGTCAGAAGCCAGGCTCATGGCTGGTGAGTGTAGTGGCAGTGGCAGGAGCCTCTCCCGCCTCTGTGGCAGGCTGACATCCCCTGAGGGGTCCCAGACTGCGAGAGGGTACAGGTCAGGCTAAGGGACCCCCTTCCCACAGTACATGAATGTCATGTACCGGGCCTCTAGTACTGTTAAGAAAAAGCCAGTTTAAAAAAGTACTTTAAAATTTTTTGTTCCAGAACAAATCTCTGCTATTTTTTTATTCTTTTTTATTTTGCTTTCTGAATAGTCAGCCAAATGAAATTGAGAGGAACAAAATTGATTAAACCAGTTTTCTGAAATCAATTCGAGTTATTGTTGATCAATAAACATTAATTAAGGGGTTCAGCATTATAGGTAATGCATAAAACATACTAAATAGTTAAGTGTGATAAAGAGAAATGAATGGCTATATGAAGTAACTAAGTTTCATTGAATCTCTTTCTTTATAACATTATTTGAAATATATATGTTAGCACGGCAAGTGAATTTATAAGAGAAATAAATTATATTATTATGTGTATATACTGCCCATTTAATAACACTCTAATATATCACAGTATGAGAGAAATGCACCCTAGAGAAAATGCTGCTATTCTTCATAGAAAAATCCATGAGTCACATTATGCAACAATTAATTGATGATAAATGATTTAATTCTAGAACTCAGAATAGCTTATTTAAATGCCACCAGAAAAAAAAAACCCTTACCCGCAAAAAGGAGTCTAGGGATCCATTCTCCATATATTCCACCACAATCATAACTGGCCGGCCTGCAAATAGAGCAAGGGAACACACAGGATTAGAGCAATCACAGAAATATGTGCTGCAGTTAGAGGTTTCCAGCTGCGGCAGCTAAATTATTTGTATTTTATTAATAGGAATTTCATTTTCCAACATGCTTCTATAAAAGTACTCATACTACACACCTCTCCATTTCTTTATAGCATTATTTGAGTTCATAAAAGGGACATGAATTACAATATGAATTACAAAAGAATTAAGCACTTCCTTTTCTAAAGCCCCGCAATCACTCGTTTGTTTAGATTATGTTCTTTTTGTCTTGAGCTTTTCCTTAAGAGATAATCAACAAGCTGAAGTCAGGGTTTGAATAGTTACTGTAGCCTCTTTGGCAATTGTGCTACAACTTCTACAGTGGTGCAGTAATCATGGCTGAATTACATCAGACTGGGCATTTCCGAAATAGTCCTCAGGCAAAGCAGAAAAGAGAAATTCATAAATTCTCTTTAAGAAATGATAAACCATCGGTCATAGTCTGTTTTTAAAGGCTTTTAAGTAGAAAAATGCCAGTAGATTGATGAATGCTACCAAGTTGGTGGGATCTGTAATAATTCTTGATCATCTCTTTATTGGACATAGATTAGATCAACAGAACAATGATGGCAGTACATGAAAAATAAGTAACTCTGATTTCATAGTCTAGTGCAGAAGCTAAAATCAGAAACTGAACATCATTTTTTTTATATCATATCTATTTGCAATTGTTACAGTTCCTTATACCTCTATTAGGTAGCATATTTGACATAAGTAACTTTGATTTGTTTCAAAGAAAATAATCTATTTGTTCTGCTCAATTTCCCGAGTTTAAAAGATAAACTCATTTCAAATGAAGGGAAAATGTTATTTACCTGAAACAAACATGTATGACATATTTACTTTTTACTTCTATATTTCTTGCTTCTCATTGGAATTTTTAGCAATTTAATCTGCACTGTGCACAGAGTTTTTCCTCATGAGTATAAAGATCTGGGAAGAAATTATGTGTACCAAACATGGAAAAATTAGGGCTCATGTAATCATGGAAAATTAGGTCTCATGTTGTAAGTCATGTCCCTTTTACAAGTCTAAGCCTTGTGGGTTAGAAAGGGTGATAGTAACAAATTAGTACAATGTCTGCAAATGCTAGATTTTAACAGTTGAATCTGTATTTTAAAGAAAGATGTGCTAAAGGTTAAATGTAATAATAAAGTTCCCAATTTATCATGCATAGAATTAGAACCCAAAGAAGACATCCATTTTGTTGGATCTCTATTATGTTCCCTAAAGTCATTAATTTCACCCAAATACAGATAAAGAACTTTATCAGAAAATATTGAGGTCAAATGAACTGTCAGCACTATTATAATCAGTGACCTAGAAAATCAGGTTTTAAATCTGAAAGTTTGTAATGAATTTTTTTATTTGACTATTGATTTCAAAGAGCTTAGTGACTAGGAGCCTGATGTAAACACTTGGTTAGCAAGGTAGGGAAAAATAAAAGGTCATCTTACTATCCTACTATCCTAATAAAAGGGTAATTTGCAAATTAACTGTCACTCCATCACAAAGATGGTGGCGCCCAGTCCTCTCAGCCCCACCAGAGTCCCCCAGTCCCAGGGGGCGGGGGGCGGCTGGTTAGAGTGGCCAGCATGAGCGGCCAGGAAGAATGCTTGCTTTGAGGCCCTGCCCAAGCTACGGCGGAGGCTTGAGCAGAGCTGGGGGGGCCCTGCCCAAGGGGGGTTGTGCCAGCCGTAGCTTGCCAGCAGTCCTGCCTCTGCACATGAGCTGCAGAGGAAACACCTTTTCTGACTGCTCATTGGCTAAGCTCCCTGTATGCCACTGGCAGTGTTCTTGGTAACTTGGGTAATAAGAATCCAAGAAGGTGATCTAGGGTTTTTTCACCTCACTCCTGGAGGAAAAAACGAAGGTCCACTGCTAGAGGGCTAAGAAATGTCATGTCCTGCCCTAGCCGGTTTGGCTCAGTGGATAGAGCCTTGGCCTGCGGACCGCAGGGTTGGGTTCAATTCTGATCAAGGGCATGTACCTAGGTTGCAGGTTCCTCCCTTGCCAGGGCCCAGGTCAGGACTCATGCAGGAGGCAACCAATTGAAGTGTCCCTCTCACATTGATGTTTCTCTCTGTCTTTCCTTCTCTCTTCCATGCTCTCTAAAAATCAATGGAAAAATATCCTCAGGTGAGGAGAAAAGAAAGGAAAGAAAGAAAGGAAGAAAGGAAGAAAGGAAGAAAAGAAGAAAAGAAAGAAAAGAAATGTCATATCCTATGAAAGACACATCTTGAAAATGCCTAAAGAAAGTTGTCATTTTTTCGTGGTGAAGGAACTGGAGTCTGTGTTGACGAAAACACCTTGGCAGCTGTGGCAGCCAGCAGTGGCAGCAGCAGTGGAGTGATGGGGCTGGCACCTTCCCCTGATCCGCCTTCCACAGAGGGAGGCCAGAGGGAGGCCACTCTCTGAGTGGGCCTACGCCATCAGTAGGACATCCCCTGAGGGCTCCCAAACTGTGAGAGGAGGCAGGCTGGGCTGAGGGCCCCCCCGCCCCCCGTGCATGAATTATGTGCACTGGGTCTCTTGTATAAATATAAAAATTCTGAGACTAATATACCAGTTTGATGTATAATAGATTATGGATGTTAAGAGGAAATGTTGGGTTACTACAATGACTACCTGAGTTCTTCTGCCCATAGTCACAACATTTCAATCTACCTTGACCATTGCTGCTAGAAAAACATATTTAACTTTTTAAAAATAAAATTTAAAAAATATTTATCCTCTCCCTAAGAATGTCAGTCTTATTAGAATAAAAAGAGTTTGCAAGCACTTCACTTATACTGATACATGCTATTATTATCCCTATTCCACAGAGAAGAAAATTGAGGGATAGAAAGTTAAATTACTTGCCTAAAGTCAAACAGCTAGTAAGTGGTAGTATCAGGCAGTCAGTCTCAGAACTTAAGCTCTTACCCTTCATGCCATGGTGCCTCTCAGACACTGTTTATAGATCAAAGCTATAAGCCTCTGTTAGCCAATCTTCATCTCTCCTAACCAACCTTATTGTTTCCTGATCCATCAGTTGTCATTATCACCTATACTTGTTCATTCCTATCTCCTTCTGCCTTTCCTTTTGGTGTTCCCCTGCCAGGATTACCTCCCAACTTGCTTCTCTATCTAAACATCTCACCTCACAGCTCCCCAGATTGTATACACTGCACCTGTTCCTTGAGAGTATCCCACAGTGATATTTCCTATAGCTGCATTCCCATCACAACTTTGTCTGCATTCTGACATGTGCCTGGTTTTATATTAGGTTGCTTTTCTTTATCTTCCCATAGATGCTTTGTATCCTTTTTCACTGGGTTTCTCAAGGCCACCTCCCATGCAGCTGAGCAGAGTAGATGCTTCATAGAAACAAGTTGATTTTTCTCATCAATTTCACAATTCCCGAGAAAGTAACCCTGAAGTATTTCAGCAAGATTTTGATCTACATGGATACAAAGTACTTTGAAATTAGTTCTATCTATAACTTCTTGGGAGATACTTCATGCCATCCTAAAATTCATCAGTGACAAGTTTAATCTTCTCATTAAAGATAATAAAGAGTCCAGTGAAGACGCCCTAGGTTTCTTGTGAATTATACGTTTTACACCTGAACTGCATCTTTTGTATTTTGTCCAGTAGCATCAACTGACAGCAGCTGTTGTTAAACTAAGGCATTTTTTTAGAATACTGTTTGTTTCCTAGTGTGTGTCCTAGGGAAGGTTACAAGCAACTTTACAGTTCATGGTTACACTTTATAATCAAGAAAATAGATAAGTCTAAGGGAAATTAAGGAAATTAGTACAGTATTCTTCAATACCTGATCAGGTGAGAGAAGTCATTGGTAACAGTATTTTTGTCTTATTTTTAATATGTAAAAAATATATATTGCATTGTTTTTGGAAAATACATTTAGAGGTGATTAATTCTCTTTTTACATTTTAAAAATATTTCGCTTTTTTCTTTTTTACAATTTTAGCCACTTATTCCAAGTGCCTCACATCACAGAATCAAATTAGTACTTGCATTATACTGAAATCAATGGACAGATCCCAGGATTCTTGAGTCAGTCAAATCTTAAAATCCACAGATGTTTTTAGAAGCCTCATCAGATTGATTTAAGAGATTTTCAAAAATATTTCTACAAGTCACACAAAAAGTGATTTTTTTTTGTTTTTTTCTTCATAAATAGCCCAGGAATGGTTATAGATATTTTAAACAGTATTGGAATCAATACCCTATAAGGGATCACTTATTTATATTCTGAACACAATGGATCATAAGATCCCATGTCATTTTTTTCTGTTGTAGAGAACAATGGTTTTCTTTAATTGGAACTTTTATGAACTACTACTGTAACTAATAAATCTTTTTCAAATTGACAGCTTCCCAGTGCTGAAGCTGATTTAATGTAGGTGGTGTTAAGAAACCATGTGATGATGAGACTATAATTTCTTGTGCTATTGTTAAAGAAAACAGAAGAAAGGCATTTTTTAAAAAAATCTTGGGGAAAATATTTTCTGAGTGAATTATTTTTTTCTTTTTTGCTTTAGCGATGATTTGTGAAAGAAGGGGATTACAGAGATTTAACATTTTCATAGAAATAATGAGTTTGTACTCAATGTAGTATTCTTTATCAGCTTGGCAGTTTCTAATGTGCAGTCAGTAATATCAAGAATCAACAATCCGAAAACTCTATTACAGATTTATATCAATTCTAGTTTATTTAACATTATATCGTGTATATATTTTGTCTACCAGGTAATAAAATTTGTGATAATAACTTGGATTGTCAGATTGCCTGCATTCCCTCCTCCAAGTTGCAATTCAGTACTTTTAAAGCTAGTTATTTAATCTATTTCTACCTCCCCTGTTTCTGCGGTAGAGGTAGAAAATTATAATCTCAAATGGATTGGATAATAAATGAAAAAATTTTCTTATC